GCTCCCTGATTGTGTCTCTGTGCCTCTCTCTCATAAGTAAATAAAATCTTAAAAAACGGAACAGGGAGAATCCTACAGGGACCTCTGAACTCAGTCGGTGGAAGAAGCAATTCCACACCCTTGTGTGAGGGTGAAGATCGAAGAGGACCCTGGTTCCAGGCTGCCGAGAGCAGGGCAATGGCTGTGGATAGAGCCTCACCTCGGCCCTCTGGGTTCCAAAAGATGGAGGGCCCCTTAGCTCTAGGGGTTTGCTTTTCTTTCTTTCTTCTACCCTCCTCTGCTCTCTTATCCATCTTCTTACCCCTGTTTTCTTATATCCCTATCTTCCTCATCCACTTTTATTCCGCTGCTCACTCTTACCCTCATCTTTGTGACTTCCTCTTTCTTACCCCTCCTCTTCACAGCCCCCCCTTACTCCCTCTTATGTCCCCACCCTCTTATCCCTCTGCTCTTCCTTACTCTTCATCACTCACCCTCACTACATACCTTTGCCTCCCTTACCCTCCATCTGTTATTCTTCTGCTCTTTCTCCCAGGTCTACTCCCATCATCACCATTTCTTACCCTCCAACTCCCTACTCTTTCTCACATACTCCTACCTTTTACCCCCTTCCCCCACTCTCTTCTATACCTTAGCCCCCTTCTTAACCATCCACCTCTCTCTTACCCTGCCTCTTATTTTCACTTAATCTTTTACACCCTCCTTTCATTCCCTTCTCATTCCTTTGCATATACCTTTTATCCCAGTAATTTCATTTTTAGGAGTTTGTATAAATACATTTAACACAGGTGTGCAAGAGACATGTGTGAAGATATTCACCAAAGCATTGTTTATAATAGTGAAAACTTGGAAATAACTTAAATGTCCATCCACAGGGGATTGTTACGCTTCCCCCTCCATTCATACAAAACTATACTTTTAGCACACCATGAATTTTACTTGCTTCCATACTTCCACATAAGCTGTCACCTCAGCCTAGAATGATGTCCTTTAGTCTCATCTCTACCCATCTAAAATCCTACTTTGAGTTCAAGCTCAACTATTACCTTCTCACTGAAATCTTTCCAAGCTATTCTATTTGCTACCCTTCAATGGCCAGTAGTTTACCTCTCCTACAAGATAGATCATATGCCATAGATTCAAATTAGATGCATCTACCTATGAAACTGGAATTTATCTGAGAGTAGGGACATTTCCTCATTTACTTGTACTCTCCATTCAATCAACAGACATTTTTTATGTATTTGTGCTGCATACATAATGGTCAATAAGACAAACCCACGTCTGCTCTCATGCATCGCACATTTTAGTGAGGTTGACTGAGAAAAACAAAACAAGGATGCAGACAAAGTCATAATTGTGAAGAAACAGTTAAGAAAAAGAGGGAATAATGAGAAGACGTTCTCTAACTAGAGGGGTCAGGTTGACATTTGAACTGAGGCCTGAAAGTTGAGAAAGACCTAGCCATGCAAAAAGGCAGGGAGGAGAGCATTCCAGGCCAAGAGAACAGTATGAGCCAAGGTCCTATGGTAGGAATAAGTAGGGTACCTTCAAGGAAAAGAAAGAAAACCTATGTGTGTGCATGTGGAACATGATGAGCTTGAAGGGAGAGATAGGAAATGAGTTTGGAGAGACAGATGGGAGTCAAGTTATGCAGGGGCTTGAAGTCTGTGGTAAAAAGTTTGGGTTTTATTCTAAATGTGTTTCAAGGGTTTGAAGCAAGGGAGTAATATGATCTGGTGGTGTTTCCTGATCACTCTTACTCCTGTGTAAACAGTGGATTGGAAAGATGAAGAGTATAGGAGGCAGGGAGGCCAAACAGGAGACTTTTATACAGGTGACATTGGCCTGCACAAAGTTGTGGAATTGGGAGTAAGAATTGGCATGCCTCACTAAGGGACTGCATGTGGGGATGCATGGAAAGAGAGGAATAAAGGCTGATACTTAGGTTTCTGGCTCGAATACCTGGGTAGTTGGCCATGGCACTTCATTGAAATGGTTGAAAGTTGGGAGCAAGGGCAGATTTGGGGTAAAAAAAAATGAACTTCATTTTATGACTTAGAGCACATTAGATGTGAGATGCCAGTGAGAGATCAAAGCACCAAGCAACAAACTATAGAAATGATCCCTGAAAGTATAGTCGACAAAAACCCACCATTTGCTTCAACGTGGATGGAACTGGAGGGTATTATGCTGAGTGAAGTAAGTCAATCGGAGAAGGACAAACAGTGTATGTCCTCATTCATTTGGGGAATATGAATAATAGTGAAGGGGAATATAAGGGAAGGGAGAAGAAATGTGTGGGAGATATCAGAAAGGGACACAGAACATAAAGACTTCTAACTCTGGGAAATGAACTAGGGGTAGTGGAAGGGGAGGAGGGCGGGGGGTGTGAATGGGTGACGGGCACGGAGGGGGACACTTGACGGGATGAGCACTGGGTGTTATTCTGTATGTTGGTAAATTGAACACCAATAAAAATTAATTTATAAAAAAAAAAAAAAAAACAAAGCACCAAGCAACACTTTGTTCCTCAGGGGGTTGATTTACACTACAACCCTCTACCATCCACCACCAGCACCCATCACCACCCCTTGCTGGAAAAGGCTGTTGCGGGGATACACTGTAAACATTCATGCCCACAGTGAAATTATTTGTATTTTACTGTAAATGTTTAAAATCAGCGTAAGAAGCTCTAACCATGTTGCTCACAGTGTGATTAAAAGGCTTCCAGCAGCACAATGACCAGGACCCTTGTTCAAAATGCAGATACCTAAGCCCACCTCAGTCCTCTTGCAGCTGAATTGAAGGGTGTCATCTGCCTATTTAGCAAGTTTTCCGGGGGATTCTGAGGCCGACTGAAATTTAAGAACCTTTGCTAGGACAAGAAACTATGAGAAGGTGCCCCTGAAGATATGAGAAGGGTGTGGGCAGAGCTGACCCCATACTTGAGAGTTACTCGAACATCCTGTTAAAATGCATGTGCTGACATGGCAGGTCTGGGGCCCAGCCTGGAATTCTGCACTTCTCACAAGCTCCCAGGTGATGGTGATGCTGCTGGTCCAGGTCCACACTTCCAGTAGCAAAGAGCTAGATCAGTGGTTCTCAATGGGGGTTGATTTTCACCCCTCAGGAAAATTTGACAATGGACAGAGACAATTTTTGGTTGTTGCAAAAATGGGAGGGGGATATGACTGGCTACTACTAGGTAGAGTCAATAAATGCCACTCAATATCCTATAATGCAGTTCCCACTACAAAGGAGTATCTAATCCATGGGTATTAACCCAAAGAAAATAAAAACACTAATTCAAAAAGATATATACATCACTATGTTTATTGCAGCATTATTTACAATAGCCAAGATATGGAAACAACCCAAGTGTCTATTTTTTTTAATTTTTATTTTTTTATAGATTTATTTATTTATTTATTCATGATAGACACAGAGAGAGAGAGAGAGGCAGAGACACAGGCAGAGGGAGAAGCAGGCTCCATGCCAGGAGCCCGACATGGGACTCGATCCCGGGACTCCAGGATCGCGCTCTGGGCCAAAGGCAGGCACTAAACTGCTGAGCCACCCAGGGATTCCCACCCAAGTGTTTATTTTTTTCCAAGTGTCTATTGATAGGTAAATGGATAAAGAAGATATGTGTGTGTGTGTTTGCATAATGGAATGTAAAAGAATGAAAATAAAAGTCATTAAAAGAATGGGATTGTGCCATCTGAGACAACATGGATGGACCTAGAGGGTATCATGGTAAGGGAAATAAGTCACACTAAGAAAGACAAACACATATGATTTCACTTATATGTAGAATAAAAAACAAAACAAATGAATAAGAAACAAAAAGCAGAATCAGACCTAGAAATACAGGTTGCCAGAAGGGGAGGTGATGGGAAGAAGGGCAAAATGAGTGAAGGGGACTTGGAGATACAGGCTTCCAGTCATGGGATGAGTAAGTCACAGGAGTAAAAGGCACAGCCAGGGATTAAAACCAATGATATTATAATAGTGTCAAATGGTGACAGATGGTAGCTACGCTTGTGGGGAGTATAGCAGAGAGTTGTTGAATCACTATGGTGTACACCTGAAACTAATGTAACATTGCATGTCAATTCTACTTCAATTTAATTAATTACTTAATTTTTTAAAAATTTACAGAATTTCGTGATCCAAAATGTCAGTAGTGTCACTGTGGAGAAACTCTGGGCTTGATGACAGTCAAACAGTATAGAGCAGGAAAACTTAGCTAGTACCCAGTGCCTGGTAAGAGTGGTCTAGATGAGAAACAGGAAGTATACTGTGTAGTGAAACTGCAAAGCAGAGTTTCCAAATGAAACGTGGTATCTGCTCCACACCAAGGCTGAAGCGAACAGGACAGAGCAAGGATTAAGGAGAGCTTGAAAACACATGTGGTGCCTGGTAAGGCAGATTCTTGTTTTTATTAAAACTAACCCCTCACATTTGTATTGCACTTCAGAGTTTACAAAACATTTTCGTATGTGTCATATTATTTGATTCACATAACACCCTAATGAGGTAGAGCAAGGATTATTATTTCCATCTCTTTCTTGAATTCAGAAACTTGACACCATCAGCCAAGGAAACGTTTCAGGAATTGAACAGAACTGAAATTTACCTCATTATAAGTAACTTCAGACAAGTCAGATACCTCCTTGGATCAACTTAAAATAGCAGGGTTGGGTGGGATGCTTGGTAAGACTCCTTCCAGCTCTGACATAGGAGTAATTTTGCGATTTTACCAATGAAAAAATTCTAAGTCATGGATGACTGCAAAGTAGGGGACTTGGGACTTTTGGCTCTGAGATGGGCGATTTTAGAGTAGGATGTAGTGGTCTCCACTCAAACCCTTCTCCTCCCCCACCCCCCAGATCCTGGCATTGGGTGGGTAGGGCAAGCACACCCCTCCTTCCTTCCTTTCCTTTGAGAGAGGACGGGGCTGGTGCCTGGGCTGATGCTGTTTCCTCTCCCCACAGGCTGTCTACAAGGCCTGGCTGTGCTCAGAATACTTCAGCGTGACCCAGCAGGAATGCCAGCGCTGGGTGCCCTGCAAGCAATACTGCCTGGAGGTGCAGACCCGGTGCCCCTTTATACTCCCTGATAATGAGGAAATGGTGTACGGAGGGCTTCCTGGCTTTATCTGTACAGGTAAAGGCAAAGCACTGGGGAGGAGGGAGGTGGTGGGGGGCCCAGGGCAGGCACCAGCTTGGAGTGTGGGAGCAGGGAGGAAAACAGGGAAGTCAGATTGGAAGAAGGTTGGTGCCTTGAAGAGTTAGCAGCGAGGTCCCTGGATTGGGATAGGGCCAAGGAGCACAGGGGCCATCTCTATCCACAACATGCCCTGGCCAAGGAGTCATCCCAGAGAAACTGGGATCCCTGGAAGAGAAGTATCCAGAAAGGGAAGGTGCTAAGGGACAGGGGGAAAGGAGTCTTGGGCAAGGCTACCAGAGCAGTCCCAGGTTTGAAAATCTCTCTAGGAAAGCCATCTGTCCCCTTAGCACCCCACCACACCTTCCTTATCTATTGGCAGGGTTGCTGGACACTTTGCCAAAGCGGCCGGAAACCAAGTGCTGTGATGTACAGTGGGTCTCCTGTGAGTCGGAGAAGAAGAAGTTCAAGGAGACTGAGGCCCCCAAAACCCACCACCAGCAATTCCACCACTCTTATTTCCACCACTACCACCAACAGTACCACCACTACCACCCCCGCCATGACCCCCCAGGCCACATCAGCCACAAGCCCTCCCTGCTGCCGGTCTCTGGGGGCTCCCGCCTCAGCCCCAGCAGGATCCGGCTCTATGTCCTTGTTCTCATGCTCCTCCATACCATGGTGTCCTTCTCCAGCAGCCAGGGTGGTGGAGGACTGGGGCTGGAAGCACTGCCAGCCCTAGATGAGGGCTTGACTCGGGAAGAGTGACAGCAGGGAGGGAGGGCAGACCTCCACCACACACAGACATCAGCTCCAGCCCCCTCCTAGGGGGAGGGGGAGGGGCTCCTCCCATGGGAGGTATAGGGTCAGGTGGGGGGCTGGGGGAAATGGGGGGCCACACATCACCCCCAACCTACCCCCACCCCAGAAGCAGCTCCAACAGAACAGCCAGAGGGCCCCAGGGAGCTGCAAAACTCATCCGGGAGAAAAAGGCAGGAGCAGCAGATGCGCCCCCTCAGGTCCCTATCTATGGGGCTTAGCAAAAAAAAAAAAAAAAAAAAAAAAAAGGCGGTGGAGTGGGGGCTGGAAGTACCCACTCCTGCTGAGGGTCCTGACCCTAGGGAAGGAGGCTGCTCATTGGGCCTTGGCCCTGCAGGGAATGTTGGAGGGCACAGAGAGGAGATGCTCTTTCCCCCCCTCGGCATTCCTTTTTGCCAGGATCCTTAATTCCCTCCTGCCCATACCCCTACAGGCATTGGCAGACAGTGCAGCGGCCCTCCTCCCATTCCTGCGCACCTTGCCCCATGTGGGGCTGCCACAGGGAAGCACCAAGCTGGGAGATGAGGTGCGCATAGTCGTGGCTAGGTTGAGGCCCCAGTGATGCTTTGCCCCACCACCCTAGGCCATGAGGGGTAGTCATGGGGTACAGGATGAGTGATGAGAGAGAGTGGAGATGGGGAGGGGAGAGAGAAGGGGAGGTGGGAGGAGGAGAGGAGGGGGAGGAGGGGTGAGATGCAGGCAAAGGGCCTAGAGAGATAGCTGAATGGTCTATAGTCACCTGGCTTGGGGAAGATGGATGATCAATGTTGACACAGGCTCCAGGACAGCTCTTCAAATCAGAAAGGGTGGCATAAAAAGTCCTGTGGGGAAAGAGCACAGGAACTTGGGTGTTGGGCCTCGAAACAGAAGGCTGATAGCACATGGTCAGACTGCCACTGTCTGAAGGGCCATTATCTTACAGAAGGTGCACATACTCCCAAGGGCCACTCTTGCCCTGGAGATCTTGGCCTTGAGGCCAAAGATGTTTCCATTCCTGATCTCCATGGGGAGGAGGGACTTAAGCCCAAGTGGGTCAGGCCTGGCCTGGGTCCCCATACACCCTCATTCTGTCCTAGCCCAGGCCTCCATGAAGGAGAACCTGGTGGCACTGCCCCAGGGCTTTCCAGAGATGAGCCTCTCCCGTCCCCACCCTGACCCCATCCCCAGCCTACCAAAGAGTATTCATCCTTTCCCATCCCAGACCCCGTGGGTTACTATCTGAATTGTGGAACAACCAGACTCTTCCTCACCCTGTAGCGGGTCCCCTGATCCAGCCACTCCTGCCCATTACTGGTGAAGGTCCAGAGACAGGCAAGTGGACCCACTGAATAAAGATGATGTGCTGTTGTCTCTTGGCTGAGACACTTGAATTGCTTAGGCAGGCTAGAGGGCTAGACAAGAAAAGAGGCATTGAGAGCCCCTTCGGGGGCTGTCAGCCTTGTGCTGATCTGGCAGTGGGAGGCCACATTGCCTGGGACATCTAAAAGCCGATACGAGTGGACAAGAAAGGGAGCCAGAACTGTGTTCCTGGGACAGGCCAAGGGGCTTTTGGTGCCAGAAGGGCCCATGTCCTAGGCTGTGATGCCAGTAAGGGCAGGGCTGGGCCTGGAGCTGCATCTGAAGAAGGGGATGGGGAGGGGATAGCTGGAAGTGGTTGGCAGGGGAGAGATGGGAGACCTCCCTAAGGAAAAAGGGAATCATCCGAGGACCTCTGCTGGGTCCCAAATAGGCTCTGCGAGACTGGAGAGTCCTTCCCTGCCAGTTTTCTCATTTGTCACAGCCTGTTTCCTGCCCCCGACCCCTGTGCCCTGCCCACAGCACTTCCAGCCTAGCCACATGCCCTATCCCTAGAGTGCTCTTTTCAGCTGGGGAGGGGAAGAGGTGCTGGCTCCTTTCCAGAGATGCTTCTGTAGATGTGAGAGATCCTAGGTCCTGCCTTCTAACTCCTGTATCCTCAGGAGGCAAAAAGGGACTGGGAAGTAAAGGGGGGCCTTAGGACCCCAAAGAATGGACCCTTGGAGATTCCCATCCTCTCTTCCCCCTCACCAAGTGCCCAGGAGACCCCTGGCTCAGACCAGCCCAGGGCCTTGCCCAGTGGCAGGGGAAAGGGGCACCTCACTCCACCTTGAAGTCATTTGACTATCCCTGTCCACCTCACCTCCCAGATCTTCCACCACCCTTCTAGCTGCCCCTGCCCTCTGTCACAGGTAACAGAGCTGGGCAGCTTTCTTATGCCATTTTCTACACTGTGCTTCATGAGTAGAACTTTCTTGCACTAGTTCCTAGGACTAAGTCTCCAACCTGGATTCCGAGTAGTCCCCTGTCCCTTCCCTCCTCACCTGGCTATGATTCAGTTGTCCCCCTTCCCCTGCCTCTGTGTTTCGGTGAGAGTCTATGTATGTGTACTGCTTTCTGTTTTGTTGCATTGTGGGGCAGAGGTCTCTCTGCTCTCGTTTAACCCCATAAAGAAATAAATAGTAAGACTTGACGATAACCCTCCTTTCGTGGCTTTGTTCCGTGGAGTCAAGTGCTGCGAGAGAAAGAAGCCTAGGGCTTGCAGAAGGTGCGGGACCGGAGGATGCTGACCCTGTGCCCCGCGGGCTCCTTATGGGCTCAAAGCTCAGAAAAGACAAAGAAGCTCTGTAGTAGGCCATTGAGACAAGGAATCACAAAATCAACCTTCTGCAGAGATCACACACAGAACTGTGAGTGAGTGAGGTGGACCAGGCTGAGGGGAAACTCAGACTCCAAGGCCGTGCGTGGTGACAAGTGCAGGGGGCACCTCAAGCTCAGGGTGGTCTTGTGGGAATGTGGGCCCAGTGATGCGAGAGCTCACGCCTTTTCTACGTGAAGCCCTCTCATTTCTAAATGTTGGCTCAAGTCTGCAGAAAACAAACCTCTATAGGCTAGACACTTTTGCAGTCCCCACAGGGCCTGGGGATTACCAATTTTCCACATCTGTTGCAGCCTTTGGCTGTAGTCTACCAGCTCCTCACGGCTTCACTAAGCCCACGTACTGAGCACAGAAGTGAAAGGCACCCAGGGAAGAACTGCTGCAAGGGTGATGACAGGGCCCTCCACCACCACCACCTTTTCCCATAAACAAGGGAAGGGGAGGACATGTGTTAGGAGGGAATCTGGTGTCTCCTGAATTCCTTTGCCAAGAAAACACAAGTCCCCCCAACACCGTCCCAAAGCAGCATAGCGTGGAGGTTAAGGGCATGGTCCCTGGAGCCAGTGTGTGAGTGCAAAATCTAGCACCACCCTCTCCCACTTGTAAGGCTTTGCACAAGTTCCTTGACTTCTTGGAGCCATGTTGACCTCATCTGTCAAAAGGGTTATTGTGTGAATTACATGGCATACCTAAGGCACTTTGCACAACAGCTGGCACAGAAGGAGCTGCACAAATGTTGATCATTATGATTGTCATTATTTTTCTTTTTCCTTCACCTCCACCTAAAGATTTATTTATTTATTTATTTATTTATTTATTTATTTGAGAGAGAGAGTTGTGTGTGTGTGTGGCAGGGAGGAGCAGAGGGAGAGGGACAAGCAGACTCCACACTGAGCACAGAGCCCTACACGAGGCTCGATCCCACGATCCTGAGATCACTACCTGAGCTGAAACCAAGAGTCGGAGGCTTAATCGACTGAGCCACCCAGGCGCTCCCTTACGTCCACTTAAAATGGTCACCAAGTTTTATCAATTCTACTCCTGTCACGTGTCAGCTCCTTCCCTTCCTTTCCACCCTGCTCCCACTCCACCACTTAGAAGCCTGCTGTAGCTCTTGCCTGGACTACTGCAATGGCCTATCAACTCATCTCCTGTTGGATCGCTCCAACTCCAATCCACTCTTCCCCAGCATGGGGTGCTGAGACACTTAGGAGGCACTCCAGAAATATTTCATGAAATAACTGCTGCTGTAGAGTACACATCTAATCTTCAAGTGAACAGATCACACTTGTGATCCAAATATCAGCTGGTTCCACATTGTACAACCAAGAGTAAACTTCTGAACATGACTTTCAAGGCTCTATGTATTTATTCTGATCCTATCCCACCAGTCTGATATTCCACCAGAGGCTATCCCACACTCAAGTCCCAGCCACATTTCCCTGTTGGCTGTTCACTTGCCTTCTCATCTCCCACCCTTGGCTCACCTTGTTTCTTCTGTCTGGAATGCTTTCTCTCCACCTCCACCTATCACTGCCTCATCTAGTTTTCACAGTCCAGCTCAAATGCTACCTCTGCTATGAAGACTTCCACAGTCTCCCTCTCCCAAGCCAAGAATGATCTGTACTTCTAGAACACTTTGCACACATTGCACCTTAATCATGGTACTTATTACATCCTGCCTCTATTCAACATAGTCATTCATTCACTGAACATACTGGGGCGCCTGGGTGAGCTCAGTCGGTTAAGTGTCTGTCTTTGGCTCAGGTCGCGATCCTGGGGTCCTGGGATTGAGCCCTGCATCAGGCTCCCTGCTCAGTGAGGGGTCTGCTTCTCCTTCTCCCTCTGCCTCCCCTCCCCCACTCGTGCTCTCGCTTTCAAATAAATAAGTAAATAAATAGAAACATACCTATCAAGCCATGACTGTGTCAGGCACTGTCCCCAGTGCTGGGACTGACTACAGCAGTAAAAGATCCACACATGATCTATCTACAAGATAACATGATGTTCTGTGTTCGGCAACCATGATATACTTACTATAACATGAGTTTTTCTCTCACCACATGCCAATGAGGAGAGCCAGGCTCTCTTGGCATTGGACATAGGGATAAAAGGTGAGGGACTAGAGGAGGCTACACCCCCACAGTGCTGAGGGAGTAAAAGATACCATGGCCATGCCAAGGAAGTACAGGCATACTTCAGACAGATTGTGTTTTTCAGTTCCAGACTAGTACAATAAAGTGAGTCAAATGAATTTTTTGGTTTCCCAGTACATAGCAAAGTTATGTTTACACTAGGCTGTAGTCTATTAAGTGTACAGTAGCATTACATCTAAAAAAAATCTACATACCTTAATTAAAAATACTTTATTGCTAAAAAAAATACTGCTAACCATCCTCTGAGCTTTCTGGGAGTTGTAATTACTGATCACAGATCATAACCATAACAAATACAGTAATGATGAAAAAGTTCAAAATCTTGTGAGAATTAAGAAAATGTCACCTAGAGATAGGAAGTGATCAGATGCTGTTTCAAAAATGGTGCAAATAGACTTGTTCCATGCAGGGTTGCCACACACCTTCTGTTAAACAAAACAAAACCACCCTGCAGTCTCTGTAAAATGTGATAAAGTGAAGCACAATCAAACAAGGTATGTCTATAGCCCTACCAGCCCCATTTTGCTCTTTGACTCCTGGATCTTGCCCTGTAGCTGCCCCCTGAGCCCACACCCTGGTGCTCTCCCTTCTCAGGCGGACGCCAGATAGCCTCAGTCTCTTCTGGCTTCAGTATATGCAAGGAAGCGTGGGGGCAGTAGTTCAACAGAATCACCTGGAAAGCTATTGCTCTCCCTTCCCCCAGCAGAGATTCAGATTTAGTCTTCAGTATTGTTTAACCAACTCCACAAGAGGTTTGAATGTGCATGTGCAGCCAGGCTTAGTGATCTCAATCTCGAGATGAA